TCTTCTTGGTACTAAATCTGCTCACTTTCCAATGGAAAAAAATCTTCGCTTGAATGCTGATGATGGGGCCTTGCTACCTGACCCTTCTACCTATAGGCGGTTAGTTGGCAGACTTCTCTATCTGACCATTCTACCTATAGGCGGTTAGTTGGCAGACTTCTCTATTTGACATTTTCCAAACCAAATATATCTTATGCTATCAACACTCTCAGTCAATTTATGCAAAACTCGTGAGAGCCACATCATGCAGCTGGCATTCGTATTCTTCACTACCTCAAATCATCTTCGGGTAAAGGACTTTTACTCTCCAGTACAAGCACACTTCATCTTACTGCCTACTCGGATTCTGATTGGGCCTCTTGTCCATTAACCCGGCATCTGTTATAGGCTACTTCACAATGTTGGGTTCTTCTCCTTTATCATGGAAGTCCAAGAAGTAGCTCACCATTTCTCAATCATCAGCGGAAGCCAAATATCGCTCCATGGCTTCGGCCACTTGTGAGTTAATATGGCTCAAAGCGCTCTTGAAAGACCTGGGTATTTCTCATCCACAAACAATGCGATTATACTATGACAAGCAAGCTGCACTCCACATTGCCGCGAACCTTATCTTCCATGAACACACCAAGCATATTGAACTCAATTGTCATCTTGCTCGCGAGAGAATTCATTCAGGCATTCTTGAAACATCATATATTCCATATATTCCTTCTCATGATCAGATAGTCGATATTTTCTCCAAACCACCTGGTCGAGACCAATTCCATCATTTATCATCCAAGTTGGGCATTACAGATCTCCATGCTCCAACTTGAGGGGGCTTATTATGGGATACGGCCGTTTTCACGGTTGACCTATTATTATGGGATAAACATAGCTATTTCACAGTTGACCCATTCTTTTGGGTATTGATATATTATTTATATGCTCTTTAATCTCCTCCCTGATTTTAAGGGATTTACTTTGTAAACTGTATATATTATTCTTCCATTGAATGGAAAAATACACACAACAGATTTTTCCCAAATCACGATTTCTACACGATTAGTACAAACCATGTCATTGCTAAGTATTGATGTGAACGGTGAAACTGTAGAGTGACTATTCTGTCGAAACACCGACAAGACAATTATGACAGCATAAAAGAAAACAATACTTATTTGTTTTCGACTCTTACACATAATAAGACACTGCTATAATATTTCAATTTGACATGCATTAATGGTATCAAATTTATCCTTGGGATACAAAGAAACAGAGGAACGAACAAAATCTTACTCGTTCACGATACATGATTAGCATGATCCAGGAAGCCCCACAAGTTGCTTATTCCTACAGAATGGAAAAGCGAACTCAAGAGTCTGATTGAATCATAAATCAACATTTCACATGAATAAAAAGTTTGTTACCCTTGAATCTTTTGAAGAGATATAATTTGTCTCTGTTAATTATATCAATTCAAAAAAAGTGAGTCACCAAACAGTCATTAATTTCAGGTGATGTGAACAAATTGGGAAGTACAAAATGCGCATCAAACGCGGTTACATGACGTCCATTTTATAGTGATGGAGTTAAGTTCAAAGTGCAAAGTGACCATCAAGCAACCTTATACATGCACGCATGCATCACATCTGTTGTGTACTCTTCACCTGTCACCTCTCATCTGTTTCATGTTTCATGAACACAATGAGGAAGCGAATTTCTCTACATAAACTTAACTCTCTCATTTCAAATGGTTATTGTGGGGCTAAAACCCAGCTTCTCTCTTGAAAAACAACTTTTGTCAAGTTACCTTAGTACACATTTTATTTTGAGAAAAAGAAAAGCACTTCTAAAAAAGAAAAGCACTTCAAAAAACAAATATACCAACAACAGTGCACATGTACTAGAAAGACTTAGAAGATGCCTATATAGAGGGGAGATCCTATGTTAATCCAAAACATATTCATTTTGGATCTAGAATGTTGAATTTCTTTCACATGATGATTTCCATAAATCACAAGTGCTAATTGCATGAGCCCCATCACCTTTGATCCTAATAGTACATTAATGGCAGCTACCCTCTCCATCACCATCCAACTATCTATTGGACAAAGGATTTCGTCACGAGGATTATAATAGACTTTTCCTACTAGGATGGATCTTGAAGTCCGTAATATATGCCATTCATTTCTTAACAGATGAATATCCTGAAAATTTCATCCCATATTCATTGAGAATTATAGTCAACTTAATGGTTCTGAAAACCTATAAAAGTTTGAATTCCTATTGGTTGTGATTTATTCAAACGGTTTCGCAGTAATATAATGGAACTACTTCTTTAAAAACTATGGTAGAGGCATTTGTTTGACCTCGAATATTGCACATACCGCATATCGCATTAATCAATATCAAGAAACCAATATTTTAACTCGTGCTATAGTAGAACTGCTCGATCCAGCCTTAAGGCTTTTCTTATTTTTATTTTTTTTTCAGACCCAAATTTTGTCAACTACCTTATCATCACTAAATAAAAAGTTAAAAAAGAAAATTTTCAACTTGATTTATGTACAACATAGATTTCACTAAAATAATTCATTTAGTTTGGTTTTGGGGGACAGATGCAAATTTATTTATTTATCTTCAAAATGATTGTTGGGATAAAGAATGTGCAAATTCAGTATAAAAAATTGCCTCTGATGTAATTCGTTAAAGGAATGGTTTCATTATATACTACAAAAACATTGCAGCGAAATCACCCTATACAAAAATTGTTTCATTCATAATATTACAATGAATCTGGTTTTTGCATAAACATGTTAGGGAATATTTGCCCTGAATTTGTTTTTTTCTTTTTTTTTAATTTACTGGATCTAATATTTATAAAAATTTGAGGTTTAGCGTACTTAAAGTTTTGAACTGGCTTACACACTATACTAAGCTTTAAAACCAGACGAAGCTTTAAAACAAGACCAATGGTCGATACAGACTGGCAATTGACCAGGACCTAACTGATCCTGGGAAGGTATCGCTCCCACCCTGGTTTCTACTCTTCCCCTCTTCCCAAAGATGCTTATGAATGTGGGTAAGGAGCGATGCATTTGAGACAATGTGTTTAAACAATTTTATGTGTCACCTTACACAAACCTCAACCTTAATTATTTGATCTGTATGTAAACACCTAACAGCTAATCATATATTATCATAGTAACTACAATGTCTATAACAATATATGAGGAAATCACTTACCATAAAATTTATCATAGTAACTACAATGTCTATAACAAATAAATGAGAAAATATCACTAACCACAAAATTTGATCTTCGCCTTCCTAGATCTAAATATTTGCCGTCTTCTCTGTTATGCAAGATCTTCATAGCTATGACTACATATTGGTATTTCGCTTTGCACTAATCATATTAAATGTGTCTTAGCTCAACATAAGATTGATCTTCAGCACCCTGCAAGTCTAATTAAATCATATATATATATTTATATATATATACATCAAGAGAGAAACCAATATCACCATCATGCAATAAAGTCAATTAACTATTAACTCCTCTTTCTATACGAGGGCAGAAGAAGTGGATTTTCATAAAAACCTAGAGAACTGAATCCTAGAGAGTTGCCTATAAAAACTAGGGTAATATTTAGAAGATAAAGATATCTGTTTAATCGGAGAGAGAAATACTCAGGACTTTGAGAGAGAACATACCTTGAGAGATTCATGTTTAAAATTATGCAATCTTTATCCAAAATATAAAAATAACCTATACATTTTCTCCTAAACATATCTAAATCTCTCTCTCGAAATCTCTCCTATCTTAAAAATGCCAAGGAAATCTCATGAAAGAGCCTAAGCTATCTCTTGTATCTCTCTATCCTAAAAACAATGGAGAAGATACAGTAAGAATAACCACTTTTCTAGATAGAGAGATATATATGTTGCGTGAAAAGTGACCCAAACCTTTGGGCATTACCCTACTAATAAAAATAAAATAAAAAATAAAATACAGTTCGAGGATGACATTGTCAGACTGAAAGGTAATTTTGTCAAAAAAAAAAAAAAAAAAATCGCAATATTGGATATTTCATGGAAGGTCACACCTAATGCTCAGCTTATATTGACATCTCTCTCTCCATGTTTAAACTTTAAAGAAACTTTTTTAAAATTCAAAACTTTCATCCACAAGTTTCTAATCTATTGACCCTTCTCTCTCGTATCTCACTCTCTCGAGTTTCTAAACAATAATAGATCAAATCTCTAAAACCCTAGGTATCACATCAAACATCTCTCTCTGTCTTCCATGAGGTCATAGGCGCCTCCATTGTTCCTTCTCTCTTTAAAACAAATGCCTTTTCTCTCTCTATCCACCTCCATTTATGGTAAACAACCCGCCTCCCACTTGAAAAAAGGAATCCACCTCTCTCTCTCAACCCATGGATACTCCATCTCCATCATCTTCTCCTAAAGCCCCACTTCTCTCTACAAAGAACCGATCTTCTCTCTCCAATGGAAACTCCTCCTCTCTCTCTAGTATAAAGCCCACGCCCCACTCTGCAGCAAACCCCCCTCCTCTCTCTAAAACCTCTCCTGAAACCATGAGCAAAAAAAGGAAATGGAGGATTTCTTCTTCTACAACCTCTCCTTCTCTCTCTAAGCCTGCTAAAACATCGTCTCCATCCATCCCAAAACCAAATCCTTATTTCCTCACGACATGCTCAGTCGAAACCACCCTCAAAACCGCCATACCAGAGCCCTCTTCCTCTGCAACTTCTCTCTATAGGCCTCATAAAGAACCCACTATCATCTTCAAACCGAACCCATCTTCTCACTCCAAGATCAAAATTAAAACCGAGCCCGAGCCCTCAACTTCTCTATCTAGGCATCGTAAAGAACCCACTATCATCTTCAAACCGAACCCATCTTCTCGCTCTAAGATCAAATTTAAAACCAAACCCGTGACCACAACCAAAGAGAGAGAAAGAAAAAGAAGCAAGTGCTCTTCCTCTGCCATGGTATGTGAAATTTGCATGGATCACAAACCCTATGAAGAGACCTTTTCAAACCCCACTTGCTCTCACACCCACTGTAATGAATGCATAACTAAGCACATAGCCTCAAAACTACAAGAGAATTTAACCCTTATTGAGTGCCCTGTTCCTTCATGCAAGCAAGTTATAGAGATAGAAAGTTGCATGCCCTTTCTTCCAAAAGAAGTCTTTGAGAGATGGAGTGCTGTGTTATCAGAGGCCACAATACTGGGGAGCAACAAGTATTATTGCCCCTTTGAGGACTGCTCTGGGCTTCTGGAATTTGTTGAAGGTGAAAATATTAATATAAAGGAGAGTGAGTGCCCTTATTGTAACAGGCTCTTTTGTGCTAGGTGCAAGGTGCCATGGCATTCAGGGTTCAAGTGTGAAGAGTTTGAAATGAAGGATGATGATGATTTGTTCATTAAGCTTGCAATGGAGAAAAAGTGGACAGCTTGCCCTAACTGTAAGTTTTATGTGGAGAGGAAGTCTGGATGTGATCATATGATTTGCAGGTATGGATTTTTTTTTTTCACCGGGCATTTTTTTTTGCTTCTCTTTGTTTTTTTTATTACTATTTTTTTTAAAAAAAATAATTTTTTTATGAGAATGTGCACAATGAGACCATTTACCTTTGATACAAGGAGGTTACAATTACTTTTATTTAAAATAGCTTGGGTATGTTACAAAGTTTGATTTTTTATTTTTTTTGAAGTTTGAGCTTGGTCAACAAAATAAATACAATCTTCTAATTTTACATCTAATGGTTGAGATTAATTGTGAACACCTTTTACAAACGCAAATGATCTAATGGTATACTTTTCCTTTTTTTATACAGGCCTTTTGTTTAATAAAGTATATTATGATTTCCATTGCTATTTTAATGTTATTTGTTTTTCCTTTGTTTCACTTTTTGCAGGTGCCTGTGTAAATTTTGCTACCGATGTGGATGCCCCTGGAAACTCGAACACTCATGCAAATAGATCAGATCATTGAAGAAATTTTTATTTCTAATTTTTTTAACTTTTTTTTGTTCTAATCATTTTCCTTTTTCATCTTTTCTGGTGAGTTGCGTATTCTACTAAATAATATGAAATAAAGAGAGAGCTTTGTATCTTTGTATCCTGTTTTTCTTCCATATAGATGTATCGTGTTTTTCTTCCATATAGATGGATTTAAACGGTTTTTAGTGGGATATCATCGAGTGAGATCTTTTTATATAAAATTTAATGAAAAATTATGAAATTACAATACTTCATAAATAGAATAGGTAATTTTTTTCATTTTTTTATACCGCAGAAATAAAGAAATAAAGAAAAATGTTAATACGAATTAATCATTAATAATGATCATAAAAGAAATACAATTTCAAAATTTAAATCTCCTAAAATATCTCCTTTCATGTATATCAATCCCCATTCATGTATATATCCATGTATATCAATCCCCATTCATGTATATGTCCATGTATATCTCAAATACGAAATCTTAGAAATACTATCTCCTAAAATATCCCAACCCATTTCCTAACAAAATTTCTATATCTCATATCCATGCCCTTTTCCTCTCCCTTCATTCATCTCCAACACTATGCCCCTCTATTATATTTTATAAATATAAAAGCTATATCTTGGAGAAAAAATGACTATTTCCTAAAAATGTCAAACACCCATATCGTAAAATTTCTCTTTCTTTAGGCAGGAAATATCTTAAGAATGAAAGTTCTTTCCTTATGAAATTTTAAAATGGCAAAATTTAAAACAATAAGGGGCCGTTTGGATACACAGAAATATATTATCAGTGGATTGTAACTGTTTGGCAGTATTTAGATGCAACCTGTTAATGGATTGTAACTGTTTGGGTCGTATTTAGATGCAACCTGAGAAATACATTGTTAATGGATTGTAACTGTTTGGGTAGTATTTAGATGCAATATGATAAATACATTGTTAATGGATTGTAACTGTTTGGGTAGTATTTAGATGCAACCTGAGAAATATATTGTTAATGGATTGTAACCGTTTGGATAGTATTTAGATGCAACCTGGGAAATACATTGTTACTGTAATAGATTGGAACTGTTTGGGTAGTATTTAGATGCAACTTGGGAAATACATTGTTACTGTTTGGCTATGTCGAAACGCATTACCAACATATTATTTTTCTTTTTTGGCTTTATACCCAAAACTTGCATGTCTTTGCATCTTGAGTTGGAACCACATGTTTTCAAGATGTTAACACTTTGGAATAACATACTTTTATTAAGATAAGCCATCATATTTTTTATGTTTTCTTTTCTTATGCTAAAGCCTTTCGATCATCTCTCTCCATAAAACTTCCATATGGGCAAATTCAAAAGAAATGGAGAAGATTGAGAACGTAAATTAATTTAAAAAAGTTATGAAAAAAAAAACAATTCAAGCTGACTGATTTGATGATTCAAACTCAAGTATTTCAAATTTATCAGCAAACAATAGCAGCAAAAAAAAAAAAAATTATGAAAAAAAATAAAAAAAACAATTCAAGCTAATTGATTTGATGATTCTCTGTGAGTAAACTCAACTAAACAATAGTAGCAAAAAAGAAAAACAAATTGATCTTAGTTGAGAACCCAAATTGGTTTATTTTTTTTGAACCTACCATTATGATTGCAGAACCTAAAATTGCAAAAAGTCTTACGAGAACCCAAAATTGCAAAAAGGTTTTATTTACCAGAACACCAGAACCCAAAATTGCAAAAAGGTCTTACGATTAAGATTTGTCTTGTGGTAGGAGGTGAATCAAAATCACGGTGAATCAAAATCACCGAGACGTCCGAAAGATTTGTGGTATGTTCGAAAGATTTGTAGTAAGAGGTGAATCATGGGATTTTTGGGCCTCGAAAATTACCGCGCGTAATAGATTTTTATTTTTTGGGTCTCGAAACTACCGAGACGTCCGAAATATTTCCCCGATTACCCGTCATAGATTTTTTACCGGTCAAACGCGTAATAGATTTGCGTGATAGATTTTTTACCAGTCAAACGCGTAATAGATTTTTCACTTTTCACTGCGCGTAGATTTTTCACTTTTCATCGTGGGTAATAAATTTTCTGATTTTTGGGAAAATCTCGAGTAATCTTTTTCAATTTCTTTATCATTAAAGTGTACCTAAGTGTACCTTGGAAATGTGATAATGGTTTAAAATGTGATAATGGTCGAATAATTAAAACATATGCATACTAATTATAGGAGACCCTAAAACCAAATGGCACCTAAAGAATAATTAAAATGGATACATACTAATTATAGGAGGCCCTAAAATCTCATCTTTAACTATGACTTATAATATAGTCGAGTATCGTAGAGTAATGATCCTATAGGACCTCCCCCACCCATGTGTGTAGGATCCTAAAAGGATCACTATTAAAGTTGGCACAGATATCTAGATAAGATATCACATGGGTGTGAAACTTGACTTTTCTATAGATTCGTGCTAAATTTAATGATAATCCTTTGGGATCCAATAGACATTGGTGGGGGAGGGTCGTATAGAATCATTTCTCAATATAGTATAGATAGATACTTGAAACTAGCTATTAGGTAAGGGGCTCGGTCTATTCAAAATCAGTTTGATTATCGGTCGAATTAGTTTAAAATAAGAATAGTAATATTAAAAGGGCAAGCTTTCTATATTTTTCCTACAACATAGAAGTTTTATAATCCCCCTTATCCAACCGTCCATTCTGAATGGAGGGCTAAGATTGCCCCAATTACAATGCCATGTCTCTACACTATTTTATTTTTTAAATTTTTTCTATAAACTATTTTGACACTAAACTTTGCACGTCCATTCCTCTATTAAATTCGCACTAGCAAAAAATATAAAAAAAAAATATTTTTAATAAAATAAAATATCCAAAATACCCCTAAAAGTTTCAAGGGGTGTTTTGGCCATTAAATTTTATTGAAAATTCATTTTTAATATTTTTTATAGGTGCGACCCAATGAGAATATGGCACATACTATATTTCATATTCATACAATTTGTATAAAAAAAACTAAAAATAAAATACTTTGAGACGTTGGATCTAAGATCAAACGATAAGTGGCTCTCTTGATCAAAATTGGACGGCTGGATGGTAGGGGAGGATAGAACTTCTATGTTGTAGGGGAAGCATAGAAACCTTTCCCATATTAAAATATGAAATATATCACCAAAAACTATCTAGCTTCATTTAGACCAGCCAAAAATTGGCATTTATCAATTTTCAACCAATGTATTATTAATCTGCCAAATCACTAGTTCGTGGACATGTGGGATCGTCCGATCTCCAGAGTTATGCTTAATGACATGTTTGGTTCCAGCGTAAAAATATTCACATGAAAAATTCTCTCATGCATTCAAGTGTCGAAATATTTTCATAACCATTGATCTTAATGTATCTTTTCATACCAATTAGCAACTAATTAATGTAAAAATATTCTCACACTTGAGATTTCTTTCGTGCGAAAATATTTTCATGCAACCCAAACTTGCTCAAACTATGTCTACCGCCTACTTAATGTATTAAGGCAAGAAATCTTCAGTGTGAAGCCCTCCCTTGCTGTAAAGCTGACAAACAAAGCTATTAGTTTAAAATTAAAATCAAAGCAACATTGTTGTCATCTAAAAAGAAAATTGCATAAAAATAAGCCTACCGTATTTTAGTTTCTCATTTGCAATTTTGTTTAATTGAAAGTCATGTTTTACCATTCCCACATGGCAAGTTCCTAAAAAAAATGCAACATAGTAAATTATTATTATAAGTTTCAGTAAATTTCTTCAAAACTCTTGTTAATTAAAAGCTATAGTAACCAGTTAATGTAATAAATTTAAATAAAAAAATGAAAATGAAGTAAAAATCAAATAGGAAACTAACCAAGTAGAGAACTAATATTGGGTGACCTAATTTTATATATCAATGGAGTATTGTTTGACCTAGAAAATTTAAACTATTAAAGTTCAACGATAGTAAATATTTGAAGAGTATACTGAAAAGTGTCATTTTGAAGAATGGAATATTTTGGATCAGATTTTTCCTATTTCAGTTTATATACAAAAACTTTAAGGAGAAATTTCTCTAGTATATTATGGATATACTTGTTAGGGAAAGTATATAACATTGACAATGTTTATGAAATGGTAAGTTTAGTGTCTTGTATTTATGGTAGAAAGCATATGTAATGGATATGCTTGTTAGGGATAGTATGTGTCATTGAAATTGCATATATAAGAGTAGGTATAGTATCTTGTATTTATGGTAAGATTAGATGTATTGTAGGTATCAACAATATCTTCCTATTTTATCTTTGATGCAAGATACTGCACCTACCCTTTCATATACATTTTTAACTATATATACTCTTCTAACAAACATATGTATGATATTTGCTCTCTATAATATTTTGTACATGACATCTGTGGAGTTTTAGAATCCTGAAATAGATGCATACTAAGCTTATTAGAATCCAAACACCATATATAGAAACAAAGTAAAGTATTGACTATGCAGTATTGACTAGCATAAGTTGTCTTTTATTTAGATAATAATTTAGGCTAATAATATAAAGTGCATGTATATATAGACCAAAAAATCATTCTAGAATCATGCATGCATGCCTTTGTACTATACACTCTTATCCTAGAAATTCATCTTTCTTTTTTAATAAAAATTGAGTTATGCAAGAAAACACCAAGACCTTCATTTTAAGCCTGGGATATCATCAACTTGTTCCTCTATACAAATTAAAGACCCGAACTTCATTTTTAATAGAAAATTGTTCAAAACTCCGATAAAATTGGAACGATAAAATTTGCATGGCCCTGGGCAAGGATGAAACACACCAATCAAGAAATGGTCCAACCTTTTTATTGTTAAAAAAAGCAGAAAATTGTTCAAAATTCGAACTGATAACAAAGGTAAATTTGAATTATGTTTGGAACTCGGAACTCAGAACCAAG